GTATGTTTACTCTTAGGCAAAATGACATTTTTGTCTTTGACCCACCCTGTACAACAAAATTGAATTCGTTATGGTGATTTGTATTTTCTAAACAGGCAAAAACTTTTATCAAGAATGGCTTTTTTCGTATCTTTTACTTCTTGGTCCATTTATCATCTTGTAAACTTAATCCGCGAACATACTGTACATAATGGTCATATATTTTTCATTGAATACGAGATGTTTTTCTTCATTTGCATTAAAGACTTCTAAAATTAAAGGCAAATACTACTAATGGTTTATTTTTATGTCTAGCATCTTTTGCTTCACTAAAACGGATAATATTACGTAATCGTGAAATGGAGAAAAAGATATATGTTTAGTTCATTTTCTGCAGATAAAAGCTTAATTAATGAAAAATCAAGAAAGGTTCCGTAAGCTATAAATTATTATTGACTGTACGCTTCTATATCTCAGAATCTACACAGTAGAATGCTGTCGTAGTGTCGTATCTGACTAAAAATCAAGGGGTTACGACGTAGTTTTTATGTGTGCAAGATTTTGTCGATTGCATAGAAAATTCCCTGGGCAATAAATAATTATAGAGTAACATGTTGAAAAATTAAAAAAAAAATTAAATGGTTTTAAAAGTGTACACAAGTGTAGTGACAATAAGTACCTCTAAAAAAAATTGTGTGTCCTTTCTAAACCTTAATTTAAACCCACGGTAAGCGATAAACTTTTTGAAATGAGCGATCCTGTCAATCGAAAACCACGCTATCGATCGTTGCAAAATTTTTAGGGTAGAATTTACTTATTTTAAAAATTGCTCGAAATATACATATGATTTTTTACTATTTTTCGCCCAATGTTAATGAAAAATTCAACTTTTTTGATTCCCAGTTGTTGTAACTTTATAGAAAATCATCAAAGAAACAATAAATAAAGAATGACTTTCAATGTTACAGGGAAAAATATGTCGTTTGTTGTTCCCTTGAATTTAGCAATGGTTTTTGGAATAGTCAAACTCGGATTCTTATTCTACATAATATTTGGGATTTTTCTGTACAACAAAATAAATGACTTCAAACACAAACGTCAAAGCGCACTTTTACTGCTCTATCGCCTGGACTATAAATAAATCTTATTATTAAGATTTCTCTTTTCAGTATTCCTGCATTTATTTATAAAAAATGTTATATCGTAATTTCAACGTGTACTTACAGAGATTGCCTGTAAGTAAAGTGTCTAAAAACATCTTTTGTTACAAAACAAAACAGGATTTTTGATCACAGAAAGCCATGTAATTGGGATAGTGACAAAATATGAACGTGATGCTCAAAGTGGAACACACTGTATGTTAATTATCATTTGTCTTTCAATTTTTCATTTTTAATTAAAAAATATATTAAGAAAAGATGTTTAACATTTGCTTTGACCAATACTGGTTCTCGTTTTTCAGTTATGAATATGTTTACAAAGAGAAGATAATAAACAATGCAAATATAAATACAATTTTAGGAACCTCAATAGGCATTAAACAAAACTGTTATATTTTGTTGGTTAAAGAAAACAATGGTCTGTCTCTAATAATAAGATAGATATAAATACATTTTTTAGTGACAAGCCATAATTTATAAGTCTACCACTGCTTTAACCTGAGATTTAATTAGCTCATGTTGAATGTACTTTTATTCGTGTATTATGCAGAAAATTTCGTTTAAATGTACCTATTTATTTATTCAGAAGGTATTTAGAGACTTTTTTGGAATATTCTTAAATTTGAGCCAAAAAATATTTAATTTTTAACACGTTTAACACTCTCAGTTTAAACTATTGTTCTCTTATGCTTTTATTTACGACATTTTTTGTACAATTTCACGACTTTCGAAAAATCTTTATAAGTATTCCATTTCCATATTAGTTCCCTGTTTTGATCAGTACGTCATATTGTAACTTTTGTGACAATTTTCGATTAATTTTCTATGAATTATGTCTCCCTTCGTGCACGACAACAGCCTACAATTACAACAGCAATTACATATTTGTTTCGTAATTTTAATGAAGGTAGCAGACAAAATAACTGTTACTTAAATGGAGTAATTACCCGCCTTTAATTTCACAAAATGAACCATGCATTTTTCCTAATTAAGTGAGAAATATCTAGGGAATATATTTGCTAAGGGTGACCGCAGTGAATCCCACTATTAAAGGTATTTTTATTATTTTCAGTGCATGCATGCATCACTAGGGCAGAAATAAAGGTAATGCGAGTGGAATTACTGTTTATAATTAATTAGGTATCATTGTGACCTCAGAATTGAACATTAAGTCGAAAAATGAATCGCAATATTTACACAAATAGTAATTTACGCCAAAAATTCACCTTTAACATCTGACCTTCACATTTCAATTGAATATTATCATTAATTATCTTCAACACTTATCAGATGAAAGTAAATGATAATTAGTTCTATGGGTTTTTGCCCGCTATCGGCTACAACTTTCTCCTATTATTTTCACATTTTGCCAAGACCATGTCTGAAGCGCTTAAACAACATTTATTACCAGCCTTTTAAGCGATCCATCTAATTATAAAAACGCAAAGGTCTGTGACTTTCAAGAAAACACTGAACTTGTAAATGCAATGGTTCTTCATATTCGTACCAAGAGATACCACTCCTTTTTCACTTACAACAATTGAATTTTATTCTATTATTAGATAATAATTCTTACTTCTTCGCTTCTAGGTATAGCATGCAGGTGTATGACTGCTGTATATGTGTGGGAATAAAGATTAGTAGATACGAGTAATTTTTCGAATTTATCTTTTGAGACAGTTACTTCATGTTAAAATTAATTAATTACCAAATTCTTAGAGTTAACAACTACTACAGAGCCTTCATACCTGATTATAAGCCACGTGATCAGTAATTGTGTTTGGAAAAGTAATTTTACTTCTTTCATGTCGGTAATTAAATTTCTGTAAAATTAAGAAAATAAGATCGAGATTATATTAAAACACAACATTCTGTTTCACCGACTGTTGATTGGTGTAATTTTTCACGAGATTTTATTCAACCAATCAGGGGATCACATGATCTCGAGCATAGGAGTAGCGGTTTATCGTTGTTCTTTGTAAACAAATCATTAGTATTGGTGAAGCCAAAATTTAGAGAATTTTTGTTGGGTTGCCTAGGCTCGGCAATGACGTGGCTTGTAAACATTTATGAATGCTAGTTTGGATACCCGTGTTTTCTCCCTAATCGTTAAGAAGAGTGGGGAGATGCTTTTTCTGCTAGAGGGCAGAGGGAGTTGCATTAGCCAATCACGTACCTGCGCGAGAGTGCAAGATAGAATCCAAACTTTCTCTTTCTTTCTCTGTCCCTCGTCCAAACTGTCGGTGTAAGCGTAGTTCCTCCGTGTAATATACGCTCTAAGGTCATATATTTTTTTTGACAGCTTGCAAAATATTTTGATTTATTTATCCTCTTTGCGCAATGAATGATAAAGTCAAGATTGCCATGGAATGAGTGCATAAATTAAGCTGCATTCAATTGTTTAGTTTATGTATTTCTTTGAGTGGAGATAGAAAAGTAAGGAGATAAATTGGGTAGAGCATTATACAGGATGAATCATAACTGATCCAAAAAAAATTTGGGAATAGACGCGGCATGAGAAATGGAGTAAAAATCGTAAAAAAAAATTTGTAAAATCCGTATAGTTTCCGAGAAAAAAAATTATTGAAGTTGTAGTACTTTCAACTATTACATAGCTGGACAGCTTAGTCTCTAGCGTCATTCGCAATACGCGTGGAGAGCCACGCGGCCTCTGCGACTCCGAATACTGAAATCTGATTTTACAATCGTCGTTTCGATAGTGTTTACCAAAGTTTTTTAGTAGTTAGTGTCGAAAATGGTTTGCGTGTAAAGCAACTCGGAGTTGATGGATATCGTTTTAATTTATAGTGAAGCAAGACAACATTTGTATTATTGTGAAGCATTTGTGTTATGGTGAAGCAAGACAACATTTGTGTCAGGTCGTAGACACTGGGTAAGACGGGCCCAAATGTGTTTACACGTCGTCGGTGGCCAACAGTTCTTATTTCTTTCCTTGCGAAATTCTTTCAAGTATTTGTCCATTTTCATCACACTGCCTGTCGCATTGTGCGAGGTCAGGTTTTACAGTAGACCAATTTCTAGTGCCGTACAGACGTGTATTTTTAAATCATCTTCGAATTGCCCTTTTTTTGGATAAGTTCTGAATCACCCTGTATAAATATCCCTGTAAATAAATTTAGTTTAAATGTTTTTTATGATTTGCTTGATGGACAGTATGACTTTTTTTTCTTTAACAAAACATTATGATATATTTTATTGTGAATACGAAATCCAATTAACAAAGGAAGTGGAAGTAAAATTCTAAGTAGGTACTAAATCATTTGTCCCTTTTCTTATAAAATTTTCATTTATATTGCGAAATATGTTTAAAAAAATATATACATTTTTTTTTAAATCCGTTTGCAACTGCAATTATTTGAAGTTTTGGAAGTTAATGACGCTACATTTTCTGAGAAAATTGTAGAAAGATGTAATTCGTACACAAATTATCTTTAATATTATATCTGTTTTGGTATTAATTCTCGACTCAATTAGTTTTTATATTTTAAATTACGTTTCCTATTTACGAAGTGAAATTTCAAACAATTATTAATTTTGCAGACCGATTTGGTATGTAAACATTTCTCCTTCATTGGAAAGTGAAAGTATTGCTCTAAAGAAATTTTATATATTGGTTATTATTACAGGATAACAATTCAAGTACCTATTTTAAATTATAACAAAGCGAAATATTTAGTTATTAAAATTCCTTGTTTATATCTTGCATTTTTTAAGTTCCATCATTTGAGAGTGATCCACCAGAGACGTATTAATGAGTTTCTGTTTGAACTTTGCTATGATACCTTACAAAATATTGAAGCAAATATTTTTTAGTTGTCATATATTTATTCGTCGTTCAAATATTGATACAACACTCTATCATTTCTATTTTAAAATAATATCATTAATCAGAATAAGAAATATGTTTCTGGAATGAGTTGCTTAGCCAAATTTATTCTTGGCTTCTTCTTTTGAATATTTTCTTTTGCTTCCTCGACTTGATTTTCTTTCTGACGATACGCCAGTGGTTCTTGTACTATTCGCGGTCAGCGAGATTTTTCTAATTTTCTCCATAGCTAATTTTCGATTGCACTTCTTCAAAAACTTGATTTTGCAGATAAATATGACGAATATAAAAAATCCTAAAATTCCATATTTTTCAAAAATTATACTTCAAAATTACAAAGTTGTACCTTGTAAACAGTTGATGAAATCCCATATTATCTCTACATATTCAGTGACGACGTTCTTCTTAAAATCGTAGAATGACGATACTACTTCAAATAAAAAGAAGACGCCCATTATAAAGGATAATTTCACAACCAAGCTGAATCTAAAAAGATAATATTTTCTGATTAAACACTAAGTGTCAAAAGTAAGGAAAGGACAATCCATTAACATCTAAGAAAAAACAGTCTATAATTATTTATTTTGGGATAATACGCAATTTAGAACCCAATGCATGTTTCGGATAACAAAAAATTTTGGAAACATAAACCAAAGCAATATGTATTTATCCTGTTTCAACATCAAAAGGAAGTTTACAAAAACAGTGTCTGTGGGATTTAGTTGTTTAATTTTTTTCTCAGAACAGAGGATCGAAAAAATTGTACAATAATGACATCAATTTAGATAGCTGCTTCGTGTTTCTTGCTCCATTTTTGATAGCAATGCTACTACCACTAAATGTTTATATGTCTATTTTACTATTTTGCCACCTGCAGAAAAATTTAAAATGTAGCTAGCAAACGTACTCGTACGGTTTATCTAAGGTTATCATGATTTGTTTCACGTAAATTTTATAGTTTACATTTTAAACTATTGAACGAATGTTACCTTTCCTTTCGTGCTCGAAATTTGTTCTTTTTCTTCTGAATATCAGCAGTCTGGTTCATTTTCTGGATATTTCCTTTTACTTGCAAACAATATCTGACAGTCTTAACAAAGAATACCACGTTCACCAACTCTATCACATTTAATGGAATTATGTAGAACAAAATCTCGGCATAGTTATCTTCACCTGCAAAATAGTATAAATAATAACTGCTTATATTATTTTGCAATAACATTTTCACAAATAGTAACACATGGGACTATATTAGTGATATTTTTAAATTGTTAATTATAAAACAATAAACTAAAAATGTGTTAAATGCTACATATAGCCAAAAAGAAATTATTATTTATTTTTAATACAATACAATAAATGCTAAAACTATCTATAGTTTCTGACAAATGTTTGGAATAATAATTTTCTTTCTTCTACACGAAGATAATAATGAATATTAGATAAATATAACTACACATGAAAATGATAAACAAATGTTACTATCCTTTTCAAGTTTTTACACTGGAATTAAACGAGGATTTCTTTGGAACTTTTAGGATGTACTAACATGTACCAAAGATGTACAGAGATTTAAAAGATTTACTTGAGATTTACCAGGGATGAATTTGATTAAGCTGATTGATGCGCATTGCGTTAATTTTTGGTCACAGCGCTTTGAGAGTGTTTTATTGTTATCTAATGCTTAAAAAATAATCCTTAAATTTAAATCAGAGACGTCTCAGACTAAGTTTTTTTTTGGATAAATACCGTTCCAACTTTTTCGTATACTAACGTCTCAACAAATTGGGCCAAAAGTTAGAAATTTTAGATGGGCTACATCGTTTTGGAGTAAAATTAATTTAGAAATTAATTATTATGTTACATGCTGAAAATATGTGAATCTCAATCTGTAAACACCCAGTTGATAATATCTTAATTGACAAGAAGGTATAAAAATCCTTAAAAATAGAAAATTATGATATTTATAATAAAGAAAATGTTGCAACTCCATGTAGTAAGTTTATAGGAAGGTAGTTAAATAAAAAATTCGTGTATTTGTAACTGATGATAAGCATTATTAGTTTTTATTTTGATCATAACTTTTGTTTTACTGAAACTTGTTTCTGGAAGTAACGTATTTCATATGTTTCTGGAATATTGTTGTTTTTCCATAAACAACAAAATATGATCAATATTTTTAAATAATCGTACAGTTTTTCATTACCTACGATCAGTTTCAAAGGGTTTGTAGTTTATTTTTGGACGTACACAATTTTTATTTTTATGTTTATAATCAATTTTACCCTGAAAGTATGCTACTTTCAAACATTTGCATCACACGGTGGAAATATCTACATAAAAAAAGTTAAAGTGCAATTTATCCACAACAGTACCCCGATAAGTTTTTAGTGGTTAATGTTATATATATGCTGTTTTTTAAAAGGATATATTTATTTTACTTTCTTATTTTCTTTGGCTTGATTTGTTATTTTTTTTGTATTGTTGCAGATAAAATTTATATAAAAATATTAAATTGCTTAACCTAATGAATATGAATCTTCATCAATAGTGTTTACGTTAAAAAATAACATTTTTAATAAATATAGGCCGATAATGATTCCCTTTGTTCAAGAAGCATATGGGAATAAATAAATGAAATTATAAAAACATATGAACTATTTTATTCTCAACGGTTTATAAATATTTCAATCAATCATTCTGAGATTTGCTTTTAAATATTTCAAAACTGGTAGAGTAAAAACTACAATTTTTTTGTTGGTGGTTTTAATAGAAATTTCAAAATTTATTTATGTATTATTATTATTATTATTTTCTAAAACAGGTGCACTCCGACTTCGATGGTATATAAAAATGAGATAAATAGTTCTAGTAAACACAAGTCTGAAAATGCTTCGTTATAGTATAACTGTATAAATCTAGGGAGATGTTAAGTATAATTAAAAATATGTAATTACTTGTAGAATTACTACTACAGTGTATTGAGATTTAGAGGGATGTAATAGGATTTACCAAGGATTTCAAATAAATTGACGGGGAATTACGGGATCAATGCGTACTTAAACCCAATTCGGAATTAAGCTTATTTAAAATCTTAATATGAAACGTCTGGAATTTTCATCCAAATATTTTAAAGTTACAGTTGAACAATTTTTTCAAAAATTTCTTGTAACCTTATATCTCAAAAAATAGGATAACTCTTGGCATTCAAAGTACGCTATTGAATAAATAAAAAAAGTATAAAATCTTTTGTGGAGAATATTTTTTAATGCAACTTATAATTCACCGTGTAGATAGGAGTTTTGGCACATTTGTACAACCCTGTATACCAAGACATAGCAAAATTTTTGAAATTTCTTCGGGCACAGATTCGTACCTGAAGTAAGCAAAGGTATAAGCATTTTTAAGCAAAATAAATTCTCTCCGAATGAGTTTAGAACATACATGTAGAAATGGGGAAACCCATTATGAATATAATAATATTAATGATTTTCACATCGTGTCAGATTTTACAAAATGATCTAATCCCATATTATTTTAAACAAATTTAGCAAATAAAGAAGCGTTATAACAATAAACAAAATTATTCCAATGAATGTGATGAAAAACTATAACGTTTCATGCTTGATGCTAACGACAATATCGATATAATAATGGCCATAGATGATATATTTATAGCTGGATTGTTTTTAATTTTTTTGCAGTTTTAAAAAGTTAGACGTAAGTATTTTGAATTATTTTCCTAATTTAAACTTGATATTTCAACAGAACAATTTTTCTCGGATTTCTGGTGCGTTAGGTCAGTACTATTTTAGCATTCTACGTTATCCAATGTTGATCAAAATAAGTACCTACGTGTTAACTATCACATTACCTCTTTCTATTAAACATTTTGTTTCTCCTATTCCAATTTTTATCGATGGTGGTAACACGTCTACGATGTGAAAGATGAATAGAACAAGGGTGGTTATTGAAGGCACTCCCCATCCGTATAAGCTGTAGCAGATGAACCTTTTTAGATCCCTCCTTTTTTTGTTGTTGAAAGAGGAGTATCGTTTGGAAGACCTAAAAATAAAAGTAAAACGTTTCTAAAATGTATGTAGGTATACATTGATTTCCGCAAATAAATTCTAAATATATAAATCATTCATTCATTAAGAATTTCTATAGGCGTATATTAATAATTAGTTTCAGGCTACTACTATGACGTAAAATTTCATTCAATGGGGCAATTTCTTCTCATTTGTAAAATTCGTTTATTTACATTTTTTTATAGCTCTTATGAAAACTGTATAGAAAGACATGTTATTGTAACCTTTATTATAACGACGCTAGACGATGTCAAAGTTCTGCATAAGAACCGACACAGAGCAGGTGTCCGAAATATTGTAATTTAACTAAACTTACCTACAGTGCCTTTCATAAATGATTACAACCCATGTGACCGCCAAACCGACACTGTCAACTAAAAATCCCTAAACCTTAGCAGCACCAATATTAATGTTTCGTCTACAGTTAACAATGACAAACCATTACGACTATGCTCGAGACAATGCTATAGCTGATTGGTTGAATAAAATCTCGTGAATAATAACCAATCTCCCGCTGGTGAAACAGAATGTGTTTTAATATAATTTTGATCTTTTTAATAATTTTTATGTTTATCTAAAGAAATAAAACTACTGTCCCTAACAAAATTACTGGTACCATGGGTTGTAATCATTTATGAAGGCTTTACAAATACAAAATCGTACCAAGCGCCTTCACAGGGAGGCGCCAAATTTAAAAAGTAATAATAATATCTCTGCAATGCTTTAACTTAGAAGTACTATTTGGTACGCAGTTTTTGGAAACATATTATACATAATTCGGTTCTAAAAATTTTCTTGTAATTGCTGTTCACAAAAAGAAAAAACAGTATTATTCGAGGTATTAAGTTGTTCCAACACTATGAGTTGAGAAAAATTCCGAAAGTTTGTCGATTTCGTCACTTTTTTCACATTAAATTGTAAATATCTCGGAAACGAAGCATTTTTCGAATTTTTGTCAAACAACAAAAAGTGTTTATTTTGGTCCATTTTGCAAGAGTTACTCAATTATTATTTTTTATCCAATAAGCATAAATAAATGCCAAATAGAAACTTGCCAACAGCGCACGAGTATGCTGAATTTATTATTTGTAAGTTGGTAGTCCATGTCTTGTATATAAGTATACATTATGCTATGTGAAGTGATCGCTTGCACAGCTGATTTCTTTAACCTAATAAATGTCGGATAAAGAACATAGTCGGTAGAAATGAAAATATAACAGAAAATAGCAAAAGCAGGAAAAAATCTGTTGAACAAAAAATTGTGGAGCCAGAACCTCCGCACACCGTTCGGGAGCATCAACTAATCAACATAGAGTACATGACACAAAGCATGCACTGCTCTTTTTGCAAAGAACGTATTTTAGACTATCTACAAACTGTGATCACAAAGTGATTCGCGTGGAAAAGTTTATATATGTTTTAGTTACTTCATAAGTAGCACACTACTATGATGCACTTCTGTAAATACAAATGAAAGTAGAAGACAATTTGATATAATTAAGTATGTAGTATTATAGCCAAAAATATTCTAAAAAATCCACTGAAATTATTGTAATTTTAAAATGAAAACTGATGTTAAAAATGTCATAATTTATCAAACTACATAAGATTGTTATATACGTTATAAACATTTCATTTGTTACATTCATTATATTGAAGATTTATCGTATTTTATAAATAAAAAAAAAAAGATTTCGAAAAACAGACTTCATTTGAAACTTTCTCAGTATTTTATTATTCCAAACTGAATTACGCAAATAAACACAGGTTGAATGTAATTCATTTCTAATGACTAATTTATGTATCGAGAAGTTTATTTAAATTTCCCTCCAAATATCCTCATTCATTCTCTATTGCGCTGTTGCCGTTACTTCTTCGCGTTTAGAACAAATTAGAACTTTTTATTTGATTTTTAATTTCTCTGTGAAGTGTGCGGTAACCTAATTTTTTCTTTCTCTCATCTATTAATTAATAATTCAGGTAAATATCTATATTTTTTCGTCTTACCACTGTTGCCACCTCTTTGTAAAAGCATGTTTACAAGACCATGTCTGCGGCGTACCCAATTTTTGTCACATAATTCGCAGTAAGTTAAGTATTAGACATCCAAAAAAATTTGTAAGAAAAAAGTTGTTCAGAATTTGATCCTCTACAACTTTTATAAAGGCCATTTTGCTCTAAAAAAATGTTTAGGCAACCACCCCCATAGCGCTTAAGTGTGATCTTTTGGTTGGATACTCAGGAGGCAGTCCCCAAACGACCCTGAAAAAATTATCCCGTATGGATTTTTTTTATAAAATGACATATTTATGTTAGATATATTAGATATAGTTAGATATATTGAAGATTTGGTTTCAGGTGTCGAGTAGGTCGCGATGGTTTGATGATATGTTGAATTCATTATTAATAAGTGTATTTTCAATAACTAAAATTGTTGAAACTGTAGAACGGGGTTTGTTCGTATAATTAATAATAATCACAACTGGTAAAACTTATTGAGAACCTTTGGTATCGTCCCAGAGTATCTTACATAAAAAATAGGTGAACATTTGTGGGTGTAAATGACATGTTCTTTGTCCCGGTCTTGTAGTAAACAGGAGAAAAACTTAAATAAAAGGATATTTTTTACTTCTACTCCAGTTTTTATTACGAAAACGTCTTTTTATTGCGAAAATTATTAGTGAACTAAGGTCTAAATCTTTTTTGTGAAAAGGAATGAATACACTAAACATGAACATACCGGACATGCTGATAACGTGAGGAAAGATAATGAAAACTGCACGTCTTTATGCACCGATTTCCAAATAGACTAGCACCAACCACAACAACAGAGGTAGCGCTTTCGGTGGAATCAGCAGTTTCAAAAATGTTTTCATCATATCGGCGTGGTAGGTTAATAGGTATTATAAAGAATTTTTTATTTACTTGCAAAAAATATTTACCGATTTACTCTTCAAATATAATTTAATCCCCGTCTATACTTATTACATCTTATTGCATTGCATTTTATGTTTGCCATACTAAAATAAACATCTTGTAGTACTAAGTACATGGAATAAGAACAAGAAAGCGGAAAGTTAATTTTAGCGATTTTTATTATTTGTTTACACATATTTTATCCTGGACAAATGTATGTGAGTATAAAAACGATATTTCCTCTGCCTATGATTCACGTATTGAGAGAACCTGTCACCAACAGATGTTGGTAATATTTTCACATGCAACAAATTAATCAATAAGTTTAAACGTGGTATATCATTATTATGAATAATTAAAAATTGCATATAGACTACGTGGGATGATTTCATACACGAATTTATTATGATGTATAACAAACATATAGAGTATATTTTCATTTCTTACAAACACAGTGGTATATAAACTAATGTATTGCGCAAATATTAAGTGCCATAATTTATATGATTTTCAATTACTACGTCAATTATTTTCTTGTTTAAATTTGTGAATTAATTTTTGCAGTAATATAAAAAATATAGATTTTTCTTACCCAAAAGTCCAGTAGATGTCGTAGCACATTACTTGGAGCCACACAAAACAAGATAGGCTTAAATATATGATAAGGAAGCCTATAACATTCAAAGATTAATTTATGTGTAATTTTATCCACTGACAACATGAAATCACATAAAATAATACATTTAATAAACAACGATTTCGATTTCTTTTTAAATTTAATGCAGAAAAATATTCAAGAAAGGTGACATAATGTTCTTTTTTGGTATTATTATTTGTGGTCCACAATATGACATGCTCATAGGAGATAGTTTAAAATTGGATTCCAAAAAAGATATTTACACTGAAAGAAATAGGCTTATTAAACTGTTTCTCTAGAATACTGTGTATAGCGCATGTTAAAACTTTTATAAGAGACACAACTTTTCTTTAAGAAGCACACTCATCTCTACATTCATTATTCAATTAGTTTAAATGGAAAGCACTTATACACCTTATGCACCTATGAAATAAAGCTTATAATGAATTATTTATATATTATTATGTGTTATAATCTTTATGTTCCATTTGTATAGTAGGAAAGATTTGTTGTATAAAGACCAATATCCGAATATGTATGTAATATCTGTATTAACAGAATTATTCGTTTTCATAATGATTATATTTCCATTTTTAACATGTAAAACACCTCTTGATCGTCACCTCTCGTTGCATAATCTATTACGATCGTAAAATTTCCGACAGTCCGCTGTGCATCGACTATTACGCCCCTTCTAGTAGCATTTAGGATTCTAATGAGGAATAAAGCGCATTTCTTTCAGTGTAGTTATTGCAATGAAAAAGTTTAAGCCTTAACAAGAGCTCTTGATGTTTCATTTTCAGATTTTTTAACCATACGCCATAAGACAACAATTCTGAGGATACTTACCAATAATTTTGCAAGTTGTCAGAGTCTTTCTAGCGTTCAAATTTGGCTTAAAGGTGCAATAGGTAAGAACCACAAACAAGGTGAATAAAGCACCGCAAAAGCTGACCAAAGTTTTCCCAAACACCTTCCTTGTTTCCTTTTTAAGTATATAGTAAACTACTGTAATGATGAGGAATATATTCGAAACGATCATGGCCCATCTGTTAAATAAAAACTTTTTCTCCATGTACTCGGTATGCGGTATAATTCTAAAAAACGTATGTCCATATATTTTTCCTCCCTTCGTGGCATGTTCAATGCAATAGGTTTCTTCTTCAGGGGAATAAACTTCGTTGCCTATTTTCTCTTGGAAAGTGTAAAAGTATCCTTGGTTGTCAAGGTGATATTTCTTAATTCTTGGAATGTAGACTTTAGTTTTGTAGCCATGTATTATGGCGTAGTCGGCTGAAAATCAATTGCAGATAAACTTCCTGTAAGCTATAGACATACAAACAGTAGTAAACGCAATTAGAATTTGCATTGTTGTTAGAGATGCACTAAAAGCCATTTAGAAAACGTCGAGATTAAAAACGGTGTAAATAATTTTATTCATCCACAAGAAATGCGTTCCACGAACTCAAAGAAATCTCAAAACAATCTTGACCATCGTCAATGAGGTACTTAAACGTTAAAAAAATATTGCAAATACCTTGTAATATTTTCGGAATTATTAATTAAGAAATAAAAGATTACTTTTATTTCTTAAAATGCGAGCGAACAAGGCTTATAGCTTGCGACGTTTTTTTCGAGACATCTAGTGTATACAAATTCGGAGATGTAACAGTGGTAGGTATATTTTCAACTATCTTATTTATTTTGTTTTTTATTCAACTATTTTTTTCTTCTGGATCAGTGTTTTACATAAACAATTTATGCGTTTTCATCCCATAATTAATTTTTAATAACTGAAAAATAAAAAATCATAGATGGCCATGTGAAGGGATGTAGGATCAAAAACTAATTTAAAAAAACGTAACAGGTTTAAGGTTTGTAATTTGATGTATATTATAATTTCAGGGTATATGCAATTTGGAATGAAATGGGTGTAGGGAGAGTAAAAAAAAGGGAAAGTGAAGCTTCAGGTATCTAGTTTTCAGATCTGCAGATTAAAATTTTCAGTCAACCAAATTATTTTTTGACGTTTGTTAAGCTTGTGGATATGTAAAAAAAAATTTGAAAAAAATAATTAAAAAAAATATTTTTTCATTTTTTTTATTATCATGAACGTTTTTTGATGAAGAAAATATGGATTATTGCTAAAAAAACATTTTTAATTTAAAAAAATGAATAAAAAGAGAAAAATTACTTATTACATTGATTTTTAGCAAAACGACAAATTTAAACAATCCGGGCACTAGGAAAAAAATCGCAGCGTTTTGAAATTATCAGGATTTCTTTAGGACACTTTGAGGTTGAAAAGTTATAATCGATATCCTTAGTTTATTCATTATTTGCAAAGTTATGCCGAGTTATTCAAATATCCCTAATTATGCAATTTTTACCTTTTCTCTAACCAACATTTTCACTTTGAAAACATTTTTTTTATCAAAAACACATAATTACGACTTGTAGAGAATACTTTGCAGTTTACGACCATTATTTCCCGAGTTGCCAAAGTCAAAAATATTTTTTTTACTTTGAGCGACGATAAATCAGTGACAAATAATCGTCCAAGGCTCCGGAACCCCTCAAATTGAAGAGAATTAAATTATCTAAAAGAACTTCATGACTAAATTACCAAAAAAAGATTTTTCAAGTCCATTGGACTTTTTAAAAAAAAGCAAAAATTTACAAATTTTTTTTGCGTTGATTTTCTTATTATTACTCAAAATGTGCTGACGATAAAAAATTTTAAACTGCAGATCTGAAGATTAGACACCTGAAGCTTCAATTTCGTTTTTTTTTATTCTCTCTACGACCATTTCCCTCCAAGTTACAGCTCTTTGAATATCACCCAAAGTTTTGGAATTTTTTTTAATATCCTTTAATTTCTGTGGCGTGTAATAACTCTTGAAAATATTCTAAAAAAGTTGTTGTTCCCTGAAACTACTTTTTCAGAACCCTGTTAATTTGAAAAAGAAAGTTTTCTAGACATCAAATGAACTAAATTCTATCAAAATCTCTAAACTATTCTATATAGACATTGAATAAAAAATTACAAACATAGTGAATTACAGTTTCAAATTCACAAAATTGTGAATATTTCGAAGGATGATGGGCTGCTTTTTTAAATATTTAATTTTTGGTTCCATCAAAAAACAAATTTTACAAGCATACAAAGAAGTTCCTAATTTATGTAAAAGAGATAGATTTACGATTTATTATAAAAAAAATATCCTTCTTGCAACCAAGTAATCCGTTTCATCAACATATACTATTCGAATAATTTGTATTGAAAACATAGGCAGTTATTTTCAAGGAAATATAAATTTTCCAGTGACTGTTTTCCAAAATATAATAATTTTACCACGAACTGCATCAGAATATTTCCACCGGATGTTGTCTTTCAATTAAATATGTTGTCCATCATCCAAAAGTTAACGAAAACAGATAAATGAACGAACAATGTTCCACTTACCACTGGTATTTGGAATAATACTGGAAAATCTATTGAGATCCATCCCATACTCGTACGTGTCCGTACAGTGAGATCCATTAACAAAACTTTGTCCATCAGCACAGCACTTATGAAGACATAATACACTTTGACAAATATCATAATTCTTACAAACCCTTACCACAAAAGTACCGTTAACCGTTTCATCTATGCAATAACTATCTTTACGAAATTTTTCATCAAATTTGGAAATGAAAACAGCATCATCTTCAACTTGTATATCATCCATACTTACAAACTTGTAATCGTAAATAATCTCACACGATGATAACCCTACTTTTAAAAACGATGTATTAAAGTAACTATTTCTGAAACTTTTTACACAGGAATGAGTAGCGGGATCATATAAATAACTCCTTGGGCAACACTTCGGTAGCATTTTATCATCAATATTTTTCACAATAGTCGTTTCATTTATAGTTCTTTTAAACAAAAACAAATTGGAATTTACTGCCTCAACGCATTCATACTCTTCTGTACTATTTAAATCCACCTCGAAGTCTGTTTGTATTTCCACACGTCCATTTCCACTTTGGTTGCATAAAAATTCGCCACTTTGTTCAATGAAAACACCACCCACCTTGCAACATTTTGGTAGGCCCACGTATGATGCAGTGCTGATATTAATAGACCGTGCTTCAATTATAAAAAACAAAAAAATCGCAGGTAGTAACATCACTGCTAGATTTATTAACAAAGTCTGAATTACTCATTCGAACCACTAGCAGGACTGACCCGAAATGAGAGATTTTGATCTAAAACGTTTGTTATGACGTTAAGGAATATATCGCTGATAATTTATTTATACTAGAAAAAATGTTTCATGTTGAGCTTGATAACCAGATGCTTATTATTCCATAAGCTTAAATAATATCGTTCAAGGAAATAAAGAGGAGGATATACGCTCGTCTAAATGATCACAAATTGGTTGTACATATGCTGTTGTTAGAAGTGATAATCGATTCACCATTTTTATGCCCCATCATTCAAATTCGCATTGGCTTTATGGGTTCTAGTAACGATGAGTTAATTGTATTGTAACTTTTTTTAGAAGTTAGTAGTTTTTGTGCGTAAATCTTGTCATATTTATAAACGAAAGATCTTCCAAAATTCTGACAAGCTACTTTAACAATTAGTAAAGAAACCAAAATACACATCCTACTTTTAGATGAGTAAATATATAGAATCGTTTTCTACAAGCATTCTTTAACTAAACTTTTGAAAATATTGTAGATTGTTGTAAGAAATGACACAAAATTTATCGAAACTGTCTACTTTCAGTATGAGGGAAAAATTATGTAACATCTGAAATGGTTTCACAATAAATAACAAATTTTTAAATACACTCGCGCACAGACACACATTTTTTATGAGTCTATTAAAAAGAAAACTAGAATCACAAACTGCTTTACGAATGTTGAAAACTTCAGCGGAAAACTTAACACTGTTACTTTAATCTTGAAACTAAAAATCTGATGTATGAACTAATCTGAGACAAATACTTTTCGATACGATAAATAGTAGGTATTTAAAAATAAATTTTCCGACTAACTCATGAAGGTGTAGCTTTTTATAACGCCCAGTTTTAAGTTAGTCCCTAATATACCGACTAAATATTGCAGCTTCCCTTAGCTAAAAGTAAATAAGGAAATATTATATGGATATTATAGTCTCATAGCTATTAGACATAAGCATTTCTATTAAAAATAAAACAGAAAACAAATGGGGCTCTAAACATTTTATTAATTTAATTTAATTTAATTTAATTTAATTTTTATTTAGTTAATTTGTATTAAGTTACTGTACACGGAGAAAAATGCTACTGTTTTTAGATTGATCTTTATTTATTTAAATCAATATTAACTATAACTGATTTATATCACTATCATTCAAGTAGCTGGAAATTTATATTTGATATGAAAACGTATGTTTGATTAGAATATGATGGTATGTGAAATTTTATACAATTATTTACATGATTAACTTAATGCTATAGTAAATACTAAGAATGGTAATACGCATATACCGAGCGATCCAGACAGAAAGCTTCATGCGTAAATGTTATCAAAAATATTAAAATTTACTTCCATTTGATCAAAATTACTTTCCGTGTTCTTAAATTTTCGGTTTTCACTATCTGTCAAATCAGAGACGTTCGTGCTTTTATTTGTGTTCGCCGATGGTGCTCTTATTTGAATTTATGAATTTATCGTTAATTTTATAATTAATCGTGTTTTTCATAGCTAATTATCTGTTAACTGTTAGTTTTGTGGTAAGGGAGCAAATACTGATGGTTTCTTCGAAATAAAGTTCTCGAACTTAATTAAAACGGCTTTATATCCTGTTAAAATAGGAGTTTGGGTAGCCATATCTCGGCGAAGAATAATTGAACCTATTTTCTTTGAAGATAATGTTACTGCTGCGATATACACAAAACATTTTGCAGCCATTTTTAAATCAGCTACATAATGACGAATTGCACAAATTTCAGCAAGATGGGGCAACAGCACGCACAGCTAACACAACACTGGAGTTCCTAAGATAATTTTATGACGATCGCATTATTAGTGAAGGCTTATGGCCTCCAAGATCTCCAGGCTTAACACCCTTAGATTATTATCTCTTTAGAACATTAAAACATTCCGTATATGTAAACCTTTTCCACACAGTGGATGAACTAAAGGATGCCATAACAAATAAATTAGCTAATATTACATAAAATGAATTACATAATGTATTTAACAGTTTGGTTGAACCTTTAAAGCTCATATTTTAAGAAATGTAAGGCCTCCTGCCATAGATTATCTGTACCAAATTTTATTGAGATCGGTTAATAGATTCCGGAGATATAAACAAAAAAACAATTTTTTTTAACAACTTCAACACCCTGTATCTCTAAAACGGCGCTATTCCAGACCAATGTTTATAAGGCAAACACACATTCTTCTTGTGCGATGGAATGAATACTTTGTGGACAATGCCCTTCGAATCATAAAAGTAAATCAACATTGCGTTTACTTTTGAATTCTCCATGCGAGATTTTTTGGGTTTTGCCTCGTCTGGAGCCTTCCACTTGGCACTTTGGCGCTTGGTTTCTGGATCATATTTAAAAATTTTGAAGAGATCTATCTGAGAGATCACCCTGTATATTTTTTTGTACAACATCCATTATATCAAATTGTTCATTTAGGGATAGTCCATGTGGTTCCAATTTCCTTATTGCACTAACTAAGAAACCATAGTGTCTATTAATGTAATGTATGTCATCGCGAATATTTTGGTTCTTCAGTAAGTCCTGATATAACATATCTTATGCCATCGAAACGTTTATCATAATTCTTCTAACCAAGTACCCCGTCTAGTTATAACTGGTTCGGGAGGCAGAAGTATGCCCGGAAAAGCCTCCTTAAAAACGTCTCTTGCAAGCGCCTTAATTAAAACGTTTTTGACATTTGATATAAAAGTATTTACTAAAGGGAGAGTTTCCCTTATTTTCTCAGCTACCCGATTAAGTGCGTGAGCTGCACAATGTGAAATGTATCATTTTTGTATATTTTTGACATAAAATCTGTTCTGCTTTTAACATTTACGCGGCTACAGTCAAGTTTCTTAATACTAAATATAAATTTACCATTAATTAATCTCTGATTACTTACTTTTCGTATATTGTCAATATTGCAATAATTTTATAGTTAATTTTTACTGGACGTTTTAAAATACTCCACGATCTAGAACAATGTGACAATTTTATATTATTTAAGCAGGGAAACTGCCTACTGAGTGATCCAAGATGTGGAGCACTCACAGACCATCGAAAAGTTTGTGTCTATGCGCAGAACCCACAATATTAACTCAGAAACTTGCTTGAACGAAGGAATATTAACGACCTCAATTTTATTGTAAATAATAACAAATTTTGAAAAATATACCCTTGTCGCGCGTAACCTAGCATTAATAATTAAATTAAAAAATCACTATGCTTCGTCGCACAATACAGGGATTGTTGTATAACTAGAAATTTACTGAAGTCTCTGAAGGTGATCTGCATAGGTCGAAACACAGGCTGAATAAAAAAAATTAGTTCTTTATATGAAAACCTTATACGAAAATCCATGAAAACTACATTGCACACAAAATTTTGAATTTCGATTAGTAGATTTTGATAAATATCTTGAGAAATACAGGGTGTTCGGTAACTACGGGGAAAAATTAAAGGGTTATATAGAGCAGGTCAAACGAGTGCTAGTACTTCATATAAAGTTTTTACCTAGGTGCCATTGTTGAGGAGTTATTGTCACTCAAAGTAAGAAGTTGAAATATGAATATTGCCCATAATTTCTACTTTGATTAACTTGAAATTTGGGGGATCAAAGCAACTCATTCAAATGTATTTTTGTACATTTAAAATTGAATCAAATATTTTTTATTATACGACGGTCGAAGTTATGTCCTAAAATTTACGCAACTTTGACAGAGCTGTCAAATTTGACATTTCGCCCTCGCAGGCTGATAGCCCTGTTACTTTTCTATAAAAAAGGTATACTTCATGACTTATGACAAAATGAACGGTTGTCAAGATAATTAAATTTTTGTATTTTGTGTATAGCCACAACCGGGGACACAACGCAACAGAAAAAGTTAAGAATGAAACATATGGATTAAAAGATGAAAGTCTGCAACTGTTCGAAAGCTATTTAACTGGGCGTAGTCAGGTTGTTATGGTAGGAAGTGCTGTTTCTCAGCGAAGACAACTGTACTGTGGGGTACCACAGGGTTCCATTCTGGGACCCTTACCCAGTTTGTATACAGCTTCTTTTCCTATTTTTTTTTTAAATATTCTAAAATTCACATGTATGCAGATGACACACAAATTTATTATTCTTTTCCTAAAAATTATTACGAATTATCCAAAAATCGTCTAAATGAGGATCTAAAGATTTTATGTACAATATCGGAGCAGCACAATCTGTTGCTGAATCCTACAAAATCTGCTATGCTAATTTTTGGTAATAGAAATATGAAAAACACACTTAGGGATACTTTTAATCTAGAAATAGGTGGGCAACAAATAACAGCTTCAGAAACGGCTAAAAATTTAGGTGTTATTTTACACAGCACTCTCAGGTACCGTCAACAAGTTTCTAAATACAGAGGGCATATGGAGCTTTAAGATGTTTGTATCCACATAGAGGATATTTAAATGTTGCCACCAAAGAGATGTTGTGTGAGAGTTTGGTTCTTTCACAATTCAATTACTGTTCTCCATTATATGGACCTTTTTTGGATGTGCATCTTTCTAATCGCGTTCAAAGGGTACAGAATGCATGCTTGCGTTTCATTTTTGGTATTAGAAAGTTTCAGCATATTTCTCACAAACTATCTGATATTAAATGGTTGAATATGAAAAATCGGAGAAAATTGAATTCGCTAACTCTATATCATAAAATTATCACTAGGCAAAAACCGCCATATCTATATAACAAAATAATATTCAAATGTTATGTACATCATATTAATATAAGAAATAAGGGTTCCATCTCTCCTCCTATTCATACTACTGCTCTTTTTGAGAGATGCTTCACGTTTGATGTCTATCGATTGTACAATTCCGTACCTACCGAACTCAAAATGTATTCTTCGTCCATGTTTAAGAGATGTTTAAGAGATGTTCTATTTTCGGGTCAGTAGTGATACTGATTTGAAAGTATAGCGTTGCTTATATTTGACGGTATTATATTGTCATATTGTTTGTATAATGTTGTTTATGTTTGGATATGTAAAATTGTTTTGCTTCTATCTTATCTACCGGATATATACACTGTTTTTCTCTAGCTTAGAACAAGTGTTAAGTGGTAGAGCACAATTTTGTGAACTTCCCCTTGTGGTTTTCTTTACCTGTATATAATTTTTGATTATACTGTGCAAATTTTTTGTTTGAGTAATGAAAATAAAGACATTTATTATTATTATTATTATTATTATTATTATTATTATTATTATTATTATTATTATTATTTTGAAAAGCGATAGTTAACTTTTTTTTCAAATGGCAATATAGGTTTTTTATTATTGTGCAGATTTCTATTCTGAATTCAACGTTGTATATAAAGTTTACTTTTGTAAAACAATTATAAGNTATTATATTGCAGCGGTTACATTACATTCTTGATAGAGGCCAACATCAATATTGAATGGGTCAAAGATAGGAAATGCTTCCAAACCCTCCAATGAAGTTACAACAACTGAATTATGCTCTACAAGTTGCTTGGGATGACCTTCCTCAGGACTCTATAGATCACCTCATTAGGAGCATGCCCAGGCGAACTGCAGAATGTAGGTATTCGCTTAAGTGGAGGGGCAACCCATTACTGAATTTGGACTCTATAGGATGCGATTTTTCCGATGAAAATGTTAGCAATTGTTATTCTTAACACCATAAACACATGTAGAAAATTTGGTTGCAAAATATACACTTTTACTGGGTGATGCGTTTTTTTTGTCACATAGTATAGTTACAAAAATTAAAATTCATAGGACCGATCTAAGTGGGTTTCCTTTATGTTTCTGTTTGTTTATTAATACTGAAACCTAAACTTGGTCCATGCTTTTCTCAAAGTGGTATATTAATAACTGTAGAAATATGTATTGTATGTGTATGCCCATCTAAAAAGTACTTCTTGAATAAATTATGAGATGAATAGACGTTTTATTTATTATCCCTAATCTAGCAGACTTCGATTCTGAAATTCTTCAGAATCGAAATTGATGCGAAAAACACCACTAACAAAACACTGCATCTCAGTATAACGCATAACGGAGATCCATCCGTAGAACATATTCACCCATCTATCAAGCTGATGTCCACCAAGAACACCGTTTACCCAAGAGAAACGCTCAAAGCCTAACGGTGAAAAATCTCAATAGTTACAGTGATAATTTTAATCGATTTTCCACAAGGAATTTTCCATCAATTTTCTTGGAAGTGTTATTCAACCAATCGAGAAGGACCCTGCACTGATGGATAACGGATTAATTTTCCATTGACTGCCAAAAGTCCCATTCCGATACCTCACACCGTTCAAAGTAATTGAAGAAAAGAACAACATAGAAAATAAAAGTTCCAGATTTTTGCCTGAAAAATTCTAGAAAAAACGAAAGGTGCCAACAGGCCACAAGAGTCCAGTCAGCCAGTCTTCAATTAGTGTTCAATGGCCCTCATCGTTCTACGCGCTTTCAAGCCATTTATTTGGTGTTGATTAACGGCCATACTAATCGATTGTTCTTAAATGATCTACGCTGCTGAACCTGAACACACTTGGACTTCAAGAATTTCCTGCAATCTCCGCAATGTGATATCATCACCGAGGACTATCATCTAAGAATCCTATGACCTAGAACATATACAGCGTGTTCCAAAACTAATTGTCAATGACAGACAGCAGTGGCTCTAAAGTGGAATTTCCGCGTAGTGCTTTCGCTTCATTAGAACCATATTCCACAGTAATCGCTTCATTCAACTCATCGTCCACAACAACTTTACTATTGGGCACTCCAATTGCGACGAAACTTGTATATAATTGTAGTCTTTCCTTAGAAGAACGCTTCTACGTTGTAAATCCAGTTGAAAGTGTAATATTCCGAAAAATATTTTTCACTAGAAAGATTTTTCTTCGCGATTTTTCAATTAGAAACGTCGAGGCGAAATAATCAATAGGCAAGTTCGGTATTGACATCTAGATGCTGTAGACATGATTGTCTCTTTGTCGTTTCATCTCTTACAGTTACAATAGAACAAAACACAACTGGAATGTCTAGATGTTAATACCGAACGTGCCTATTGTCCACACATGTTCGAAGAAATATTTTTTATCGGTTAAAATCACTAATCTTTCGTTTTTACTTTCCACACATTCATGTAAGGAATTATGATACTCATGCAGCCGAAAAATTCAAAATAAAAAAGACAATGTCGGTGAAATGTGCAATATATGTTATTATCCACAACTTACTAACAAAAGCAATAGTAAAAAAACTTAAGCGTATAATAAATAAATACTATTACATTGTATTACTTTCAGTCAATTTATAAATACCTATATTAAAAACATGTACGAATGTATACAGAGTTTAAACAGCTCTTCCAGCTTCATTAACAGCTTCCCTAAAAACTTTCATCGAGGTGCCATTTGAGGTTGTCGTGGATTGTGTATGTATAGATGAAGTCGATATACTTCTGGGATGTAAAAGCTTGAATTTCAACAAGAAGTTGCGGTATATCTTCTTCTTGCAAATGAATATTATAAATATAAATACACCTGAAACATGACAAACCAGTTATTTAACGTATATACATTCTTTATTTTGCGATTTAGCTCCAAAAATGTGGCTGGTATTCCCCAATAGTGTTCATTGTTCCAAGAAAAAATTATTAATTAATTATTTAAATACAAGATAAATTTAATTGACTGCTCTTCTTCAATATCTAGACCTTCAATATGTTTTTCCCGCAATATCGTCAATTAAAAAACACGGATTGCCGACGTAGTAAAAATAATTGAATTTAAGTCCACTTTGTCCAAAAATATTTCATTTAAAAGTAACAGGGTGTTAAAATCATACCTTTAAAATGGTTGTTCTATTAATATATAAGAATCGACATATGATATTTGACTCAAATTTAGTATTTACACGTTATATTGAAGGATACAATAAAAATTATCTTCAAACATCTCAGCAAATTGAACCTTTTTACTCGAAATCTAGGAATATTAAGAAAAATTGACAAGAGACATTATTTATAGTTAATCAACACATCTTTCAGAAATGTTTTTTCCAAAGGAAGTTCAAAGCTAGAGAAATGTTTTCAAAAAGAAAGTAACCTTTTCGTTTTGAAAACATTTTCTCATCGCACTGAATGCAACGGAGGCAGTTAAAGAAGTGTTTGAATATTGGTTGTATTGCTCCTGCTTTCTTATAACTTGTACCAAATTTGAATCAGATGCCATATGTCCTAACTTTTAAATGAAGTGTTTTTGTACCAAGTCGAATTAAATAACTTGTTTTTACTTGAGGAATTTGTAATTACTATGATGTATGACCACTGGTTTCTGCGACGCTCTATATATATTTTTCGAAAATATTCAGATTTTTATGAAAACACAATACTTGAAATGAAACTTCAAATAAAATTAAACTGGTATACAAATTAACTTAGATTGTTTACAGAAATTATGGAATGAATGAAGTAAATAAAACAATCTCATCATATTTGTGATTAAAACATATTCAAAGACAAACAGTTATGTGTAAAATTTTTAGAGAGTACACAGGATTTATCAGATATGAATAGGTGACATATGGAACTCACAAAAAAAAGGTGGTGAAACAAATGTCAATAATGATTTGTTGTGATTGAAAATTTAATTTCTACACCTCTGTCATTTAACAAACTGATTTTGGAATATTTACTTTATTGCGAGAAAAAATATTCTGCTCATTTTTCTGTAACGTGTTCTGTTAAACAGAAAATGGAAATAAAACAACGAAAATATAAAAAATTATTATTTGCACATACACCACATCCTTTTTGTAAAAAATCAAACTAGGTACTTCATATTACACTGAACATAGACAAAATAAATAAAAAAGTTATTATATTTCTTAGAAATTGTAATAAAAAGAACCGAGTTGTTACCCTATCCCTAAATCATTGTCACTGAAGTATTTAAAAAAAAAAATCCTTAAAGGAAATTTTTCGAAAACTTTTTTTGGAATTTAAACGTTATCTATCTAGTACATAACGAATTGCTTTATCTACAAGAAATAGAAGATGTTGAAATTTCGAAATAAGTATTAGTTTTCAAAAAATTTCCCTTAAGGTTTTTAAAAAAAAACTATCAGTTTTTTATATTAAACAATGTCCAATTTTTGTAATAATGTGCTATTTTTTATAAACATTACTCTAAATATTATTTACTTTGATTTTAAAAATACATTTAGCTGTTACTATACCTTGTAAACAGTTTATGGTGTCCCAAATAATTTCTATATATTTTGGGACTGGCCCCATTTGGCTCATATCGAAAAACGCTGAGACGACCTCAAACATGAATGACACGCCCATAATCACTGATAATTTTAAAATAAGGAACAATCTGAAACAAATACAAATATTATTGTTGTAGACATATGAATTAGTACACTAAGAATTCTGTATCTTTTAAGAGCTTAGAAATTGTTTTGGTTCTTTTTTTTAAACAGGTATATTATTATTATACAAACAGAACAACAACAAACTGAATGAGAATGAGAATTATGTGTAGATATATCAACGTCAAAGAGATAATTTGTTATTAATGAATATAAAAAATATATTTTATGCCTTTCACTTTGTAAATAAGTCGGATAATAGTCCGGGCGAATTAGGTTTTTTTTCAAAAATCGGGCCTAACTCAAATTTTATGGGCTTAAGATTAAGTAAAAAATACACAGAATAAATGCCTAAATTTGTGTATTTGTAGAGGTCGAGTGTCATATTGTTTATAACAAAAGCAAAAAAATGATTGCTCTTTTTTTCAGTTTTTCGCTCATATCTCCGAAAATAAGTTTCTAATCAACATAAGGTATATTTATCGATTTTGTTCCTGTGGAAGTTTGCCACACAGATAGGTTTTGCTTTTGCAAAATATTAAACAGAACAGCCAGAATACCGTTTTTAAGAAAAAAATATCTCTGCTCCTATTGGTCGGATCGAGACACTTTTTTAAAAAATCATATTTTTAAGCATGTAATTTGTTTGAAATATATATGTTAGTAAACCGCCGATATAAGGACCGTAGTTACCGTTTCTTTTTTAGTTTTTTGTTAATAACTTTTTTATTTTGCAATTTAAAAATCTGAAATTTACGCAAACGCGAGACAATAATTTCGATATTAGTCCACAGTACAGGCCCCCTATGGAAAGTTGATTACCACATACTTTATAACTCCTGAGGAGCTTCGTTTTGACGAGTCTACCACATTTTTCCTCTGCGACTGTCGGACTGACGATTTGCGGATATATTTTTGTCGGACATTACAATTTTTGCTTATAAAAAACACTTTTCTATCGTGTGTTAGTTTTGTCCGACATGTGGTAATCGATTTATTGAAAAATTGAAAATTCCGATTTCCAGCTGTCGGACTGAAAAAACGCGGCTTGAAATTTGTCGGACAACAATACTTTTTGACTAAATTAATTATTTACAATTAATTTTACTAAAAATTACCTATGTGGCAATTGATTTTCAATACCCTGTTATTTTGGCATGTTTCGACCGGTAGACACGTCAATGTCGGAGGAATTTCTGTCGGACAAATTTAAATCGGCATTTGCAACAAAATTTCCAGTTACTTAAGCTAAAAATAAAAGATGTTGCTTTGACTTTTCAAGGCCCCGGGAAATTGCCATGTTTTTGGACTTTTCCGAGTGGAAAAGAGGAGGAATCGAGAAAAGTCGCAGAGGAAAAATGTGGTAGACTCGTCAAAACGAAGCTCCTCAGGAGTTATAAAGTATGTGGTAATCAACTTTCCAGAGGGGGCCTGTACTGTGGACTATACACACTTGGGCTCGAATTTTCGACTTTATAATTTTGCAGTAGGACGCCATTTTATATTGGGGGTTCGTATTGCGGGTATTTGTTGAGCACCCCAACAGTTATCTTCTCCTGTAGTTTCATCCAATTTCAGTCAAATTTGTTCTTTTTATTTAATGCTGAAAATTTTGCACATTTTTTTCTTCACCGCTAATTTCTTGCGAGCTTCCGCAAAAGCCAATCCCTGTAGTAAATGTCCTCAGGAACAAAATTGTTAAATATACCTCATATCAATTAGAGGCTTATTTTCGGAGATATAAGCGAAAAACTGAAATAAGAGCAATTATTTTTTTTTCTTTTGTTATAAACAATATGACGCTCGACCTCTACAAATACACAAATTTAGGCTTTTATTCTGTATATTTTTTATTTAATTTTAAGCCCATAAAATTTGAGTTAGGCCCGATTTTTGGAACAGGCATGTGTTTGGTCTAATTCGCCAGGATTATAAAGTAATTAAACCACTATTCAAAATATACAGATGAGCTTTATGAACTTTAATAAATAGTATTCATCAGTGTATAATTTACCCATTTATATAAATAATATGTAATTTATATAATAGCTAAAATTTCGGTTTCTTTGTTGTAAGTATGTAACCTTGGCATGACACAACTGTTTTATCACTATATAATTTCCAATTATATTTCATTTAATAATAATTTTAAATGATTACGTAGGAGAAACAATATATGTACAATATGTACATATTACGTTGTTTCTAATAGTATTGTGCACTGCCAACTAAAAGAGTTAATTTAGATTGATGTGCTTACAACTTCAGTAAAACCGGCTCTTAATAAAATTAATCAAATAATAATCAATCACTTGTAGAGAAAGGTTACGCAAGTCTTTAAGTAATCATAACAGGATAAACTTAATATACAGAAAGTTGTAAAAATGCAGTTCATCCTACATCCTACAAACGAAGATGAAAGTGAATTATGTAGGCTAGTTATATTTACTTACCGAAGTTTACTTTCTACAGAATTGAATTATGTTGCTTAACTTTTACCGGTTTCACTTTCAATATAGTTTATTTGATGTCTGTTATTTACTCATTTCATACTCGGTATATGACAAAAATATAATGTCAGTAGGTACTGTTTTAAATGTTTAGGTTTTTCGCAAAAATCGCAACAATAACTTTGTTTATGAAGCAGTGTTGTAGCAGGTTTATGGATTAATGCGATATATGTTGATATTTCAATGTCAAGAAAGATGCTAGTCACTTATACAGGGTGGTCCACTTTTTTTATCAAACTTCAAGAACCAGTACATCATCAAAAATTAATATTAATTTTCTAAATAAACTATACCCGACAAATGTTTACTTTCTGAGATACAGTACGTTAAAGTTTCCAGAAAAAAAATGATTTTTCGAATTTTTCTGTAAGTAATGACTTACGTGTGATATTTGGAGAATTTTTCAATTTTTTTTTACTTTCCAGTGGCAAAGAAAATAGAGATCGCTATTGCTTTAGTAAAAAAATATTAGTACGCCACTGGCTTTAAATTAAAAAAAAAAACAATATTTTCGGATTCTCCGTTTAATTTGGGACAAAAAATTATTCTTGTAAGTTTTTAGTACCTATTCCCATTTTCAAGTAAAATTTATTTACTCACTAGCAACCCGCCCCGGCTTCGCACCAGCAAATATAAAATAGCCTATGTTACTCCGAGGAGATGTAGCTTTTGGTAAAATTGGTTGAGTAGTTTTTGAGTTAAATCGTAACAAACAAAAAATCAATCATCTTTCATCTAATGCGACCCTAATATTAATTTTAAAATAATTCACGATATATCTATATACCTAAAGACAACAAACGAACTCAAAACTAAAAATGCAAAACCTTTAAATTTAAAACAATATAGGTAACTACCAACAATGTGAAAACAAAACGAATTAAATTAAAGTACCTATGTTCAGGACTATCAATTTTAATTAATAAGTAAGTAGTTAGGTATCTAACTACCTAAAGAAAACAAACACGAAACAAAAATGCGACTATGAAGTTTTAAATGATTCACAATAAGAAAAAAACAAACAAATTATTAAAACTCAATGAAATAAAAGTATGTTTGCAAGTATCTATGTATGTTCCGACTACCTAAAGACAACAAATACAAAACAAAAATGTGACCTTAAAATATCGAACGCAATTATAACTTTCCAACAACACCCAGAAAGAAAACACAGTCGTCAGTCGTCACCTCCATTCGCTCCAAGTCAGTTTATTAAAGGATCACGCGCGCGTTATCGTTCGGCTTATTAGCTAAACAGTAGGCAAGACGGTGCGGGGGGAGGGTCGGCGATCGCATCAAGCGAAGCGAGGCGCTTGAATTTTATTCTCGCGTCCGTAATTTTTTTGCGATTACTCCTAAGATATTCATTTAAATTATATGGTGTAAAAGAGTAAAATAATGTGCATGAAATGCTTAAAGCCTCTAACTTATTTAAAATGATAAGGATTAATACCGTATTTGTGTAAATAGCTTTTACATCACCGCTTTATAATTGGCATTTTTTTAAAGTATTAAAATTGATATAGGTAGTATGTTATATATACGATACACAATTCCACCATACATTGATACACTACATAAACTTTCGGACCCCCCCGGCTCGGACGCGAGGCGCGGGGTCACGGGGCGCCCGCGCGGCCCGGTCGAATCACGGCGACACGAAATTAATTTAGTTGCGCATTATATTGATTTTGCTATATCTCCTAAGGTATTCATTTAATTTGCATGGTGTAAAGCGAAAAAATAATCTTCATTAAATGCTCAAGCCAACTAACATATTTAAAATGATAAGGATTAATACCGTATTTGTATAAATAGCTTTCCAATTACCGCTTTATAATTGCGTATTTTTTAAAGTATTAAAATGGATATAGTATGTTATCCTTAAGAGATAGACATATGCCATCGCGGAACTTTCTGTAGAGCTATATAAGATACACAATTCCGCCATACATTAAATTGTTATATCTCAAAGGGTTTAGGTAGCGTTTTCGTTGAAATCTCTCAAACGGCTTATTTTTTTCCGACTCCTCCAACAAATATCATTAATGTATACAAAAACTTAACAAATTATATACTAAAACCTTCCTCGAGAATCGCTCTATCCACTGGTGAAAACAGCATGAAAATCGGTGCAGTAGTTTTTGAGTTTATCGCGAATAGACAGACAGACAGACGCGGCGGAGGACTTTGTTGTATAATATGTAGTGATTTATTATTGTTACTATTACAATAAACCTACAAATTACAGTTGAATTAATGACAATGAAATTACTGTATCAATTCATTAATTAATATTTAATAAAACTATTGAAAATAATTTCAGCTACATAACATCTAACAAAGCGGTTCAAAAATATTCCCGCGATGATTTCGTGTGGCTTCTGCTTGAGATTGTCACAGGCGTCTATTATTCTTATCTGCAACTAATTTCTGTCTTCAATTGGTACTGAGTAAACAGTTCCCCACATATAGTAGTCAAGGGGTTTAAGATCTGGTGATCTAGGAGACCAAGGCACCGGCCCCTCCACATTAAACATCGGTTCGTATGGCAAACGTCCTATCCAGCGGTACTGATAATTTTTTGCATTCATCCAGAGGCAGTTGGAGCTCCATCCATTTGGAGCCAAATGTTATTTCTAGTTGGTTTAAGGGAATATCTTCCATTAATTGGAAATCATTTATAAAAATCCTACGAGTGAGACTTCATCACTTACAGAAAAATTCGAAAAATACTTTTTTTTGAGGAACTTCAGCGTGCAGTATCTCAGATAGTAAACATTTGTCGGGTATTGAAGTTTGATCAAAAAACATGTTACGTTAACAGTGTAATAGTTATTATATTGAAAACACTGATTTACAATGTATTTATGAAAACTTAAACCGATACTGCCCTTTATACAACGAATTAAAAGGATTGCAAAAGGACTATTNAGAAATTACTGTATCAATTCATTAATTAATATTTAATAAAACTATTGAAAATAATTTCAGCTACATAACATCTAACAAAGCGGTTCAAAATGCCCGCTTGCTGCATTAATACACATTTCACATCTTCGTAGTAAAGAATTTATTCCCGCGATGATTTCGTGTGGCTTCTGCTTGAGATTGTCACAGGCGTCTATTATTCTTCTCTGCAACCAATTTCTGTCATCAATTGATACAGAGTAAACAGTTCCCCACATATAGTAGTCAAGGGGTTTAAGATCTAGTGATCTAGGAGACCAAGGCACCGGCCCCTCCACATTAAACATCGGTTCGTATGGCAAACTTCCTATACAGCGGTCCTGATAATTTTTTGCATTCATCCAGAGGCAGTTGGAGCTCCATCCATTTGGAGCCAACTGTTATTTCTAGTTGGTTTAAGGGAATATCTTCCATTAATTGGAAATCATTTATAAAAATCTTACGAGTGAAACTTCATCACTTACAGAAAAATTCGAAAAATACTTTTTTTTGAGGAACTTCAGCGTGCAGTATCTCAGAAAGTAAACATTTGTCGGGTATTGAAGTTTGATCAAAAAAAGTGGACCACCCCGTATAGTACATGTTACGTTAACCGTGTAATAGTTATTATATTGAAAACACTGATTTACAATGTATTTATCAAAACTTAAACCGATACTACAACGAATTAAAAGAATTGAAAAAGGACTATTATTACCATTTAAAAGAGTCAGTCGTATTAAACCACATTTGTGATAATTCCAAAACCACATTGATTTGAAACGGTACGTGTCTGGCACATAACTTTAAACTTTTTGGAAATACCCAAGAAAAAATGTATTTCCTCTCATTTTTTCATTAAACGCTTACATAAAACAATTAAATTACATTACGGGCAACTTCCTGTGAGAAATAAAATTTAATAGATAACCACATTTTTTACGGTAACTTCTGGTAGTTCTTCTTAAATTGCATTAAGCTGAATAAACTACGTAAAACATAGAATTCCAATTTGTAATAATATATGAAAACAACATGTACTTCTCTTATCATCTAACACTGGTATCTATTGAATATGATTATCGTAAAATACATTTTATTCGTATTGTGTTCATGTTTATGACCACACACATTTATCATTTTTTTAAATAAAGATACATTTGGATTTGTTTACTTTCAAAAAAATATTTTAACGTACTTCTTTTAATAATTCTCTTATATAATTTTTATGTGCGTCTGTCTAGGTTCAAAATTAAATTACAGCTTACCTCTCTTTGTCTTTCTGAAATCTCTTACTCTTGTCGTCCTTGGTTGTATCATTAATCTTGTTGATTTCGTTCTTCACTTTCAGACAATAAACAATTGTTTTTATGAACAAAACGGTATTAACCAACTGAATAACCAAATGGGGTAAGTTGAAAAATAAGGCATGAGCATAATTCCCAGATCCTAAAAAGTATATACTTACATATAGTACACAATTTTATAACATTGTTACTTTGTAGCAGGTAAGGATTGAAACAACATCCAATACCTTGCAGTAATGACAAAAAAAAGTAATATTTTCAATTATACTGGGTGGTGCCGGGCTAACAGGCCAAAACTTATGAGAAGATTCTCGAAGCAAAAATATTGCGATTTAGCCGAACTTACCTTAGTCCAAAAGTTGATAGTTAAAGAGATACAGGGTGTTAAATGTATAATATAGTTTTTGGTGTGGAATTATACGGAACCACCTTCAAGATGCACATAAACTTCCTCCGAATTTGAACGGTGACTTGTATTTAGATTTCCTGCAGCACCATTATCATAGATAATTACCTGGATGATTTACCATTAAATTTATGGCAGAACCTCTACTTCATGCCAGATGGGGCTCCCCCTCATTTTTCTGTCCAAGTACGGAACTATCCTGATCAAACTTTTCCGGATCGTTGAATAGGTCGTGAGAGTCGAATGTCTTCGCAACCCTGATTTCAGCCCCATGGACTTTTGTTTTTGGGGTTAGATAAAATAAGTTGTTTATGGAGAAACTATAAACACCCGAAAGAACTTTGGCAACAGGTTTTAAATGCTACGGAGTCATTTCGCGAAGGATTTATACTTTAAAATAAGACAATCTTTTAATAAATGCGTTGATAAATGTATTGAAGTTAGAGGTAGATATTTTGAGCAATTATTGTCTAAAAGACGTATTTTTTACTGTTCATTACAATTTTTAATTCTAAATAAACCCCTGTTTTGACATTTCTAAATTATTTTAATTATTTTAACTATTGGCATTGGAAGTTTCAAAGCCAAATATCTCAAAAACGGTGCGAGACAGCTACTTTTATAAAGTAAACCGTTTTTGTGTAAAAAAAATAAGAATTTGATACCAAAGATGATATACCTTAAAGTATAAAAGAGTTATGTCGTTTTTAACACATTAAATCTACTGCAGCTAGCGCTCTCTATGAACTATATCAAAAATGTGAACAGATTTCAAATCCTCGACTTAAAGAACCCCAAACCCCAAAATTTTGTGTGGATATTTGCATTTATTAAGAAATAAATGAAAAAAACCTAAAATAATATTTTACATTTAATACCCTGTATTTTTATACGTATCAACTTTTGTACTAAGGTAAGTTCTGCTAAGTCGAAATATTTTTCTTCGGGGTTCTACCCATGAATTTTGGCCCATTACTTCGGGACCACCCTGTATATGTATGTATAGATATCTAATAAAATAACTATTTCGTTTTCGTTCAGTTTTAATAATATACCAAGTGCAAATTGCAGATGTTTATACACATTATCTTCCGTTGTAGTAAAAGACTGCATAATTATAATTAATAATCAATTTAAAACAATCATTTTTTTGAACTTTGAACTTTGCTGTATGTCGTAAGTACCAACAAAAAAAATTCACATTTTATTCACATTTAATTGTAATTAAATTTAAATTTTCAAATAATACTTGGAAGGAAGTAAATAAAATATATCTCGTCAGCCTTAGTAATCGTTGGGGCATATTTATTAATTCGATTTAATTCAATTCTTAGAGAGAAATTAAATGTATACAATTCTACCATTTCTCAATTCTGGGTTAATTCTCGATTTAATTTTGACAAGTCATGAATGACAAAATACTTTCGTTGTAAAATTTTAATCATATGCTAGCTCAGGACAATTTAAAAGTAATCTAAACTGTCAGAAAAAAATATTTTATATAAACACGCTATCTCAAAAAAAAATATTTAATTTAGCTGGAATTTACGTCAATTGGATCAACATTATCTAATTGGATTATTACCCATCTTGATAGTCATCAGTGAGTTCTGGAAAATATGCAAGGATGTTTCAAATTGAACATACTTAATGTAATAAGCACAATCAGCTATCGTATTATCTCGAGCGTAGACGTAACAGTTTGTCATTATTCATTGTAAACGAATCATTAATATTGATAACGCCAAGATTTAGGGAATCAGTCGTACAATGATTTGTAATGAAATGTTTTTATTACTCTTCAACTTTTTTATATCTCGATTAGCTATTATATTTTGCTGCATTAATGGGCAAACCAAACTTCCCTTTCTTTTTCAATAATATGTAAACAATCAATGTCCTATACAATAAGTGAATGATTACTACTAGCCTTACTTTTTTCGAAGAAGCATTTCCTCTCAGCCATATAGGGCTGTATTGCGTAGGGCAGGAACCTATACACGTAGAAGAAGAATATAATCAAGGTCAAAGTGGTGGGTACACCCCAGCCATACAGGATATACGACAGCAGCTTCCTCAGATCTCTCTTTCTTTGATGAGCTCCAACTGTTCTTCTGGCAGACCTGAAGAGAAACAAATTTCGTGATGATTCTAATTTAGTCATTAAAATTATTCTTCTCTCTAATTTCACCTAAACATTAACGAGCAGTCAGCCAATAAAAAACTATTTATTTCAAATTCGAATGTTAGAATCGATGCAACTAAGAAGCTCTAATTTTTTTTTTAAATTCCATTAGTGTATGTACAAGGTAGGTTATTTACTTATGCTACTCCATCTATATTACTTACGAATAATAACTTCTTGTAGAAGCATACCTTTCTGAACAGGACCTTAAAAATTATCTTTTTAGAATGGGGGTCAACTTTTTCAAAATAAGCCATGCAAAAAAATGTATCTTTTATAAATTGCTTGTGACTAATCGTTAAACCTCCATAAAATGTATACATAATTATTATTATTATAACACAAACAATTTTTTTGTATTTAGAATTCGAAAATCCATAGGATCTGATGGAAATAATTATACCCTGTATATTTCTTCTCTTCTTAATAATGAACATTATATTTTTTGAAGATCCATTTCTCGAAAATATAAAAATATGTAGCTCCAATTTTATATTGCTAGTAAAATATAAAAAAACATAAATATGTATCTAGCGGAGGTAGGTATATTATTTTCGATGATAAATGAATTTCTTAAAGTTTATTTCCTATTTTATTAATATTGCAACATTATAATATGTAACTATCAAAATAATGAGCAACATTCTACTCCTTAAGTTTAGTTTAACAAATGTTAAGGTTGCTAGTATTTCAAGAACATATACAATTTTATACATTTATAATTTTTATCTACTGACAGGTGTCAGAACTAAATGAAATAAATTAGGTTAATTCACTTTTATTATCTCTATCTACTTGGATTATGCAAAATGTTCACTTGTACTTTTAAGTGTTTTATTTATTTAAAAATATATTTTAACATTTGTATCTAGTAAGTTATGATTTGTTAATATCAACAGAAGAAACTTTGTATAGAGTGATCAGAACTAATTTATAATGTTTGTAGTTTTTCAATATCTCTTCCCTTTAAAAAGATATACAGGTTGTTACAAATTGGTTTCTCACTATTGGGATATCGGAATCGGTAAGAGATATGAACTAGCTTAAATGGGGGCAAAGTTGCGCAATCTAGGCACCAACATTGTGCCTCTAAAAAATCAAAGCATAATCAATTTTTATATGTAACGTTTCGTTTTTCCATCATCAACTTAATTTTTTTAAATACGGGCCTGGAAATTTTATTATATTTTTTGCAAGCCTTCATGATCTCCAATACTGTATTGGCCTCTGTCGAATGGCATATTCGATAGAGGGCAAAAAGTTGCCATGAGAAAGTGTTTTTGTTTTTTCAATATCACCTCAAACAAGGTGGAAATGAAACAAAAACGGATTTTCAAAGTTTCGATTTTTTCAAATATTTCGAAGATTAATCATGTTAGCCTTGATTTAATGTTGGTCCCCTGTTTGCGCAACTTTGCTAGTTCGTATCTCTTACCGTTTCCGAGATCCCTGTAGTGAGAAGCGAATTTGTAACAGTCTATATAAAGATATGTATAGAAAAAAACACTAGTTCGATCAAGTCTGTTTCGGACTTTCTCAAGCATTACCGTAGAAAACAAGGTACTTTAATGTGTATATTTAATGCTGGAAAAATCAGTACAGACAATCTGCTAGTGTTTAATTTATGTATACATACTTTTGACAGGCAAGAGATATCGAAGAACGTTTTTAATAAAAGTTTCGAGAACAACGAGGAGCTTTACATAATGTAAAAACTATTTAATAAACTAGGGAAAATAATTTGTTGGGAGACTAATCAATTTATATAAATAAAATTTTAAGTTTATATTAATTTTTTATTTCGAAGAAATGAAATAGAATTTATTTCAATCAATGAAGTTCAAAGCACTATATTTTAAATAGTTCTATATATAATACTGTAAATAAATTCGGTACACGTAAAATTAAAAGAAAATATATTTGTTACTTACCCAAATGTCCACCATATATCACAGCACATAACATTCGACCAACTAAACGATGCAGTCGCAAAAAATATTATTGAAAAACCTACAATAATGCATAATTCATATGAGTATAAAAACTAGAAAACATACAAAAAGAAATGGAAAATTATACAATGACGGTGACTAAGAACTAAGTAAATTTACTAAAATATCGCTACTGACCATAAAAAATTTCAAAAACAATTTTATCCAAGATTTTCTGAAATAGAAATTTCCATAACATTCTGAGTTTAGCAAGTTTAATTATATGAATTTTTATCATTGTGTCTTATAATAGTCTATGTAAGTCTAAAACAATATTTTATTATATACCTACTTATCAGAAATATTGGACTAAGAATTGAAAATCCTCCTACTTCTAATTTTGTGGTCAGAATTAGATGCAACTACGGTCTTAGTAAATATATGTAAAAGCAAGATAATTTATTTACTACTTAGTAACTAGCTTTTAATTATTAGATAGATCGCTGGCAAAAATGTTTCAATCAAACAAATCTCCCATTAAATAGTGTTAAGTACATACAATCATTTCGTTCGACTAAAAAAGAAACATGACACTTGCACTTAAAAAAGTTAAAGTAAAAAATATAGCAATAAGTGCTGTAACATAAATAAGTAATTAAGTACAACGAAATTAGGAAGATCTTATTTCATCGACTTTTATAAAACAACTTATTTTTGCACTTTAGAACATTATTTGGCCCAAAGTTTACAAAGTTTACAAATAGGTTGAAATAAAGCACTGATTCAATGGTATGTATTGTTATCAGCGAATTCTTAAGCTAATTGCTTTTAAAAATGTGTAGATTATAGGTAAAATTATTTTGTAAATTGTATGTAAATACATTTTAGAAATCCCCTTACTATGTATCATACATAATTGATAACTAATAAATAACACTATTTAACATAAAGGGGAATTTTCATTCGGAATCGAAATCCAAAGGAAACGGTAAAAAATATTATTCATTGTAAGAAGTATTTCCTGTACAGAAAACAGTATTAAATTAAATTAAATCACATACTGTTTCTGGCTGACTATGTTCTTTATACACATAAGAATGTAAATCAACATATTTGTATAAATATTTCCTGCAAAAAGTGAATAAGCAATTTTTATGTAAGAGGTAAAATAAAACTTACGTAAAACTTATCAAGATATTTTCAAAAATGAAGAATACTTACTTCTTAATTTACAATCAACATTAGAAGGGTGCAAGAATAACTGAGCATAAGTAAGAAGGGCGTTTTCAAAGAATAAGGCCACGCAGTAATTGACCAGTATCTTCCCAAAAACGTTCCTAGTCTCGTTTAGAATCAGATATATAGCTATAGTCATAGCCAAACAAACACAAGAGAGCATTTTCGGCCAAACTGTGTAAGCAAATTTGTCATTGATATTCTTCTCCGGAAAACACATGAAGAAGAAATACCCTTCAATGTTCTTTTTCTTCGTATGTTCAATGCAGTATGATCTTGTTTGGCCAATGTCCTTAGTAATAAAGGACTGTGAACTGTTCTGCCATAGACTGAATACTCCTTTATCGTCCAAGTTAAAAATGTACTTGTCTTCCTTCAACATGTATATTTCTGAGCAGGTACTGTTGTATATTACGGCAAAGGGATCTGCAAAAGTATTTTTCGTTTTAAGATGATAACAAAACTATTTCATTAAATGTAATAATTGTTGTTGATTGCATGCACTGTCACTGAATTATAGACCTTCCTATGAGTGAGTCAGTGGCAATAATATATTTAAAAAAAAAACAGGATTTAGTGTAGTGTTCTCTGAAGAAAGGTGAAGAAAGACATATATAATTTAGTTTATACCGATTATTGCATAAACGTAACTGTTATTCGTTTACCATGTTTTCTTGTTGTTCGGAGAAGATGTAACAAACTAAAAATTAATATTGATGGGACTTGACAGTTATTTGATAACACATTCTAATCACTGAAAATAATACGTTCAAACTTGAGGTCAATATGTTATCACCCATTGCAATTAGAAACTGTTCAATTAATGATATAAAATTGCCTCCCTTTCTAATTCTAAAATTGTACATGCAGCTGTCTAAAGGTTGACAACATTATTTGTCGCAGAACATGACGTTCATAGTTATTTATTGTATAAATGTTTTCAGTAGCATTTTATTCACGCAAAAATGTTTAAACGCAAGAACGTATAGTAGTTCGAGCGGTTAATATTAAGTGGATAAAAGCAGTGGCGGTTTTACCATAAGAGCTGCGGAGCTGCAGAACACATAAAATTTTATGTATTTAATCATATTAAATATCAACAAAATTTGTAAAGAATCCAAATGTACTCGCGCTAAAATAAATCTAGGAGCTTATATTATTATTTATTGCGACGCGAGCTACGCTCCTTAATATATGCAACCTCATATACACAATGTGTGGACAGCGAACAATTATATGCGTCCTTTGTTTTTATTGGCTGATCAGGCACGTGACCCAGTACACGGAGATAGGGGCTTTTGCGGCTGCAATAGT